GGGGTCGAGGCCTGGGCCTGCCCGGCGGGAAGCGCCCTGCGGGGAATTGGCCGGATGAGCCGTCAGAGGCCGCGAGCCCCGATAGGCTCCGGAATTGGGAAGCGAGCCCTGTCATTCCCTCAGTTCCGCTGCGGAATCGCAAGCCGGCGTTGGCAGCGTTAGTTAAGAATAAAATTCGGTTTTGCTTCGCCGGCGACATGCCGCGTACCTGTTCGTTCCCCTCAGGGCGGCAGGAGGTTTGTATTGCTTAGCTCGGAGGGCGCTTCTCAGGCTTTTCCCGATTTTTTTCCATGTTTTCTGGCTATGGACAGGTCATGCTTTAACCGAATTTTGTCTTGCTGATTAGAGCCGTTCTAAAATAGCAGACAAAGTTGCGTGTTATAATACGAGAGAAATAAAAACTTGGCAGTTATTTTAGTTGCTGACCAACTGATCCAGAGTGTGTTTAGGTAGTTTTTTCTCTAAAACCATGTAGCAGTTTGGGTTTTTTTTTGTTTGTTCTGAGACCATGAACTTGCGATGATTACGGGCTGTGTAACCTGCTTCTTTGTAACTGTGTGGAAAGTTAAGGTCTTTTTTTATTTTGTAGGAAATGTTGGAAGCACTCAAGGCGCTCTCGACCTTTTTTGTTGAAAACAGCTTGCGCACCCGGAGAAACTTGCGTGGAGACATTGAACGACGAAGCTTAGCCATAAATGAAGAATTTGTCCACATATTCAAGCAGGTGAAAGAGGTAACGTTTTCGCAGTGTGATTAGCTGTCTCGTAAGAGTACTGCCATGTAATTTGAAGTTTAAAAATGGGAAAAAAGGATTAAGAGAGATCTTGACTTTCTGGGACAAATATACTTTTACAGTAAAATTATTTCATCCTTTGTTTCATTTCTTGACTTTCTGGGACAAATATATTTTTACAGTAAAATTATTTCATCCTTTGTTTCATTTCTTGACTTTCTGGGACAAATATACTTTTACAGTAAAATTATTTCATCCTTTGTTTCATTTGATGAAAACCCTCCACAGAGAGAGGTGGTGTTTCAAACAGGTAAAAATCCCAAGTGAATGTTGCTCTTTAGAGGTGCATTCTCTCCACTGATTATCAGGGAGCCTAGAGCAACTGTGTTCCTTGTAACTTGGGCATCTCATTTTGGTGGGATGAAGCTGGGCCTAGGCACGGCATTTCTGATTTAAAACACAGTTACTGTTATTTGAACTTATTTAGGAGCTTGAGAGTATAAATGAAGACGTGCAAGCAATGAGCAGCTGCTGTGAAGATATGTCCAGTCGTTTGAAGGTAATATATAAATAGATGTGCTTTGTATATCTTTTCCTTTTGAGATGTGACTACTTTCTTTTAAAAAGATAAATAATTATTTTGGAGGATTAACAGTGGCACCAAGATGTTTCCATAGTATGCGTATTATGTTACTTGACGATATTAATATGTTTCTTTTTACTTATTGGGAAAATGTACTGAGAAAGTAACTTTAATTTCTTCCCAGGTGCAATTCAGAATGCAGCAATGTACTTATTTCGAGAATAGCAGTGCCATATTTATTTGTATGTGAGTGTAAAGGAAATATTTTATTAGATTGGATGTGTGTGAGATTAAAGGTTAATTACATTTGTGTATTTCTGCTTAAAATATATGTGCCTTTCACCTTGACTACATCTGAGTTATATGTTCATATAAATATCTTAAGTATATTCATAAGAAATTATCTTGTAATCCAAAGAGGGAGACACATCTAGTGTGCCATCTTCATTCTGTTGGTTATGTTTCGTAACATTGTCTCAAAATGCTGATAATGCAACAAAACCAATTCTCTTTCGTATTACTCCTGAATCTGTAATGTTCTAGGGGAAAAAAACAGTTGTGTTCTATAATGCATTGCTAAATCTACCTTGGGTTTAGTGGACAGCCTTGGTATTCAACACAGTGATGGCTCTAAAAGGTTTATGGATGCCGAAGTGTAGATGTTTTGCCAAACCAAATCTGTTCTGAATATAGCATATAAGTTATAGTACGTGAATGAGAATCCTTCACTAAAAAACCCTGTGAAAACAGTTGCTTTTTCCCCTCCTAATGTGTGTGGTCCCCCCCATCTTGTGTACATCTTGTGTAGATGTCCCCCTACTTAGATGAATAGGTTTCATAATCATTGTCTGTAATTCCCATAGGAATGCTTGTAGTCTGATGACCTTGTTCCACAAAGTGTGAGAGTACAGTGTAGCCCACTGCAGCACTTAATTTTCTGTTGTTGAAGGCAGTGGATAATGCACCTCGGAGGTCTCAGATCTCTTTGAACACTGTTAGTGTGGATGTATTACCTAGTGCAGTTCAGGAGCTGTTTGATTAATCTTATAGATGTGGAAACGAGTCATGTCCATGCAGATTTTTGCTTTTTTCTGTCTTTAGATCATGAAGCGTAACTGTCATCTGAGATTTTTTTTTTTCCCCCCAGAGTAGAGCCACCCTGCAGTGATTTCTTTTTCTGTTAAAGTCAGTAGGTCGTTTTGTTCTGTGCCCCACAGGAGGTTCCTCTAGAGCCCTGTAGAACTCCTAACTTGTCTCAATTCAACCCGTGTTTGCTTTGTCTGTATGAATGTAAAATAAGTTAATAAGCCCATGAACTAGCGCTCAGTTGTCAAATACTCTGGTATTTTATCTGTAATGGGACATGAGACTTGCAAGCATGTGCCCAAGCTGAATAAGAAGACAAAAATGAACTGAGTAAAGCAAATAGACAATATAAAGAGGAGTGTCTGTAGCATGTAAGACAGACAAGTGTGCTAAGAGAGCAGTGTATTAAGAGAGCAAAACAAATACAAGATATGAAAGGGACTATATCTTGATAAGTGAGAAAGCTTTTTGCCTTTTTTATTTTGTAAGTTTATGATACTGTCCAATCTAAATAATCAGATACTGTCAGATCTGATTTCCTGACTGTAACTTGATAAATGCATTGGCTGAAAGGGGGAAAAGGAGGCAAAGTGGGGTTGAAGGGTAATTAAAGTTTTAATTAATATACTGAGGTGGGGAGGAAGAGAAAAATACTTCTATTTTGAATTTGCAAGAAACATCAAATACCAACTTTCTGATTTTTCTGATATGTCCGACTCTTCGGCCAGTTACTTTTTTTGCTTTGATGTAAGCTCTTACGTTACATAAATACAATAATAACAGTATCTGACATGTATTTGAATGCATATAAATAAAAACAGGTTTCCTGATATATCTAACTAGATCCAGAAAAGCTGCTTTTCCTTTCTTTCTGCTGTCCTAGTGTTAGCATTCTTCTTGACACTTTTTGGTTTATTAAAAACTGCAGTTCTGAAGGAAGAGGTGGAAAAAGAAGTCTGGAATTAGTAGATTTCCATACTGAATAGTTCAGATCCAGTCTTTTGTTGTAGTAGTCTTTTTTTGTTAGGCTTGAAAATTATTATTAAAATTAATTATTGAAAATTAATATTATTGAAAAAAAGTTTTAAATACATGTACATGAAAAAAATTAAATATTATTATTTATAGAAGATATAAAAAGCTTAAAGATAAATTATTTTGGAACTACAAAATGTTCAGTAAATTCTGTTGAGTTTTTATTAAATTCGTGTGCTAGTTCATAATAGTTTCCTTTAGAAAATTCGGCAACTGGCACCTCAGCGGTACCTGCTGTCTCTATCCATGGAACTGCTCGGGTTTCTTCCGATGACTGAAGTTGTACTTGAGCGGTTGCAGTCCTGCTTTCACCTTGAAAAGTGTTTCTGTACCTTGACTGCTTTTCCATTGTAACTAGCGTAGTGTGGCAGATGGAAAGGCTGAAATGAACCGGTGCGGGTATATATTTGCATTAGATCTCTTACAGGTTTCAAGACTGGCATCTTCATTTTGGCAAACACTGTAATTTAGACCTATTACAGTCTTGAAATTATTCACATGGGGTATCTTTATAGCTGTTTCCACCTCTTCACTTGCAATATTATTCCATACTGAACGTATTTTGGTTTCAGGATTATTTTTTTGTTGTCATTAAATCTTCTTATTTTTCTGCCCAAATGATCACTGATGGCGTCCAGTGGGAAACCAGCAATTCTGGATATCTTTTATCTTGCTGATTTATAAGTTTCAAAACTCTTTAACTTCAGCTGCAGCAATCCCTTTAGTCATGCAACTGCTGTCTGTTGCAGCACCGTTTCTGCATGGATTCCCTTGCATTGTTATCGCTGAACATTTAGGGCTGTGCTGAACTTGAGTGCGTTGCACTTGGTCCTTTCAGCCCTTTGAACTGCTTGTAGATCTAAACTTGCTAAGACCAGCACAGCTGTATTCATGTTGTCTAAAGTGGCTGGATGGACACCCATACTGGGCAGTTCAGCATCCAAAGGAACTTGTTTCGCATTTGATTTTGTAACAGCAAACAATTTACAGACAAACAAAATAATGAGAACTATTTCTAATATTTACAATGTTTCTGTATTAAATATAAGTTAAAAATAAGCTGTGTGTGAATATACATGTATATAAAGGTGAAAGATATATGGATAAAGATATTTATTTATTTTTTCATGCCTGAAAGTAGGGAGAGTTAATGAATAATTATTTCAAGAAGGCCTTTTGTTTCAAAGAGTACACTTTAAACTGCTTATAGTCAGAAATCTTCAAAATTATTCAATATTTTAAAGGCTGTGTAATAGATTTGATATGTTTGTGTTTTTCATATTCTTAATGATTCTAATTGTATTCTAGGCAGCAAAGGAACAAACCCAGGACTTGATAGTAAAAACCACAAAACTTCAGGCAGAGAAGTATGTATACCGTCTTATTTATTTCTTGAAGACATGACAGTACTGGTGGAATTTTCTTTTGAGCTGATTCTGCCACCCGTATTTTTCAGTAATGACTTTGGGTTTTTTTTTGTATTTGCACTTTGTTTTTAACACTATCTGTGTTTGTAGCTCGATTGGAATGAAAAATGCTCAACTTTTAATTTATTAATAGAGGATACAAAAAGGTAAGAACATGTGTCAGTTCTTGTTGTTGTAAAAATTGACCTTTTAGGGAAGAGAATTGGTTATAGTGGTACTGCATACTGAATATGGATGTTCTTTACCTAATGTTAGTTGCTAATGTAAGTTATATTGTTTTGTAACAGATACAGACCTACTCAGTGTTTCGTTGGTTTCACAGGCTTCTCCTTGTTGTTAATCCTTCATATCCAGTGGAAATCACTGTCTTGTTCAGGGACTGTATGTAGGAACAGAAAGTTGGCTTATAACCTACTTTGCCATATTTAAACTAACTCTGAAATACGTAAGTGCTGTTTAATGAGCCTAACACAGACCACTATGTCCCTTGGTTCTCCAGCCTCTTGTGGAAGAAAAGATTTGTATTTTGCTCTTTTCAATATTTTTATTCATGGGAAGGGGATAATAGCCTATGAGAGATTCAAGTAATCTTTATCGTTTTTTATGGCTAGGCTGGTTTTATAGCTTTAGCCTTTGTCAGTGTAGAAGAATGAATCTTCTTGCTTTATGAGCTTTCTTCTCAAAATTATATACAGTTCACTGGAGATTAGAAATGATTATTTCCAGTGATAAGTTTCCAGTAGAAATTATGACTTTGAATAGCTCTGGATGTACTTTCAAAATCAGTAGGTTCGTGTTGTGGACTTCAGTAGGAAGTGGATTATGTCCTGTGCGAGTCTGAATGTGAAGTTAAAATAAGTACAGATTACAATCTAAAGTTGAATGTGGAATAACTGCATAAAATACAGTAATGGCTCATACAGAATGAAGGATTTGGCAAAGTCACAGTTTATAGATCATAGAATCATAGAATGGTTAGAGTTGGAAGGGACTTCAAAGATCATCTAGTTCCAACACCCCTGCCATGGGTAGGGAAAACCCTCCGCTACACCAGGTTGCCCAAAGCCTCATCCAACCTGGCCTTGAACACTTCCAGGGATGGGGCATCTACAACTTCTCTGGGCAACCTGTTCCAGTGCCTCACCACCCTCAGAGTGAAAAAATTTCTTAAGTAAGGGAGCAGAAGTCAAGTCATAGGAAATTTGTTATTTTAAATATGAGTATGTGAAGTAGTAAGGCAGACAAATGGTCATCTTTTATGTAGTCTCAAGAAAAGAAAAACTGCTTTGATTCCTTATTCTTAAGCAAAATGGAAGACCAGTCCCAAGTGGTGTACATCTAATTGGCCTTAAATTCCATTACAGGAGATTATGCAGACTGTGCATCAGTAATTCTACAGTATGTTCCTTATTCGCACAATAGTTTACTTGAAAGACTTTCTGCTAATTCCTTTAAGAGGCAGAACATCCCCCTAGTGTGAGAAGGAAAAAAGGTTTGGAAAGTCGCCTGTCCTTCTAAGGATCTGTGTGACCTCAGAGTGCAGATATAGGCAAAAGTTTTCTTTTGAAAGTATACGTGAAGTACGTACTAGGAGAAGTCAAACATATTTGTGATCTTACAGTAGGATGCTTATGGAAGAATCATAGTGCCATTTATTAGCAAAGTTACCTTTTTTCCTGCCTAAACTTAAGAAAAATTTAAGCAAAAGATTTTTATTTTTTTCCTGCGTGGGTCGTTGGAGTCACCTTTTATTTGGCTCATTAAATGACTGTATCTTCTGATGCGTTGCTTTGATTTACATCAAGGACATGAAGAGGCTTCTCCTACTGAATGTTACAGGTCTCTTGAAAAGCTAAAATCTTGCCAGCAGTCAGACAAAATACAGATCTTTAAGTGCTGATTTCTTCAACTTACAAGGTGACATTTCTTATCCAGCAAAGGAGTAAATGGTGAAACTCGGAGAACATGGCTTCTCTGTCTTCTGAGAGTTGTCCTAAGACACTGATTCAAATGCAGAGATGAAAGCTGGACCCATTCAAAAAGATGGGAATTGAAACAATGTCTCTGAAGCAAAAGAGTCAGTCTAGAACAAGGCAGTAATTGCTGAACATAATCAGTTTTTTTAGAGTTCTTCCTATAAAAAGATGTCTCTCTTCTTACTATGAAAGTTACAGAAGACTCCAGATTTTGTAAGTCTCAAATTTCTTCTTCTACTCACAGTGGTCCTGCCAGCTGGTCATATTGTGATAGGCTTTTCACAAGAAAACATAAGTTAAGTAGAAGTTTCTTGAAGTCTAGGATAATGGGTATTTGCATTTGAGTAGCACCAATATAGCAGAATTTTTGGTGTATTTTTTTTTAATTTAACATCAACTTTTTTTATTTTTTAAAAAATTCTGGTTTATGTACCACAGGATTTGTGAGTTTTTTTGATTTTTAAATCAGTGCTGAGGAATGGTATGTTTTTAAACATTACCCTGAATAATAAAATTAATTATGTTCTTCCTTTCCACATTAGTTATGCTCTTCTTTTTCACAAGGATAGTTACTGAACATTTTGTGATACATTCTGTCATTTTGCTGAACTGGTTGTTTGCATTGTCTTTAAGGAAAGCCATTTTGACTTGGCCCTTCTCACTGAGTACTACATTAAGTCCTACTTTCACTTTTCTAGCCATTGTTTAAAAATTACTTCAGAAATTATTTTGATTTGCAGTACATGACTCGCTGTACTAGCTGTCGGTCCAAAAAAAAGGTCTTCTATTATGCTTAAGATTTATCTGATCTACTTTAGCTGACAATTTTCGCATAGGAGGAAAATGTTATGATTTGATCCAATGTTCTAAAACTGAAGGGAGATAGTAAACTTTCAGATGCATTTCATGCATTTATGGGAATTAGGGATTTACCTTTTTAAAAATATTTGATTTTCGTATTTGACTCAAATTTTAGGAAAAATGGGCTGCTGTCTTCGCTTGGATAATATAATGAAGACAGGTTACTTAGGCAAATATCTGAGTTAGTATTTCACAGCTTTTTATTTACTTCCCTTCATTTTCTAAGGATACATGTTAGCTCTGGCTTTGATCAAAGATGTCTAGTAGTCTTTCTTTAATAATCTTAAGACTGTTTTCAGTAAATGACAAGTGGAATCTTTGGCTTGGGTAAAACCCTCTTCATGCCTGGTCAGTTCTCATGAAAAGTAAATTCTGTTGAAAGATGTTATGATTAGTATCAAGTTTAAAGCAAACTGCAATTAAAAGAACAGAAATGTTCACTTCAAAACCAGAGAAAGAAAAGTCAATAGCCAAAGTCTTTTTAGTTGGAGTTGTAACTTTATTCCCCTAGCTATACAAAGCAAATAAAGGGAAGGTTGAAATAGTAAGTGAACTATTTTCTTAGATTGCAACATTTTTTGACCTTGCAGATGTAAATATCTCACAAGAAATTTTTCACTGTGTGGCATTTGAACCTGTGTAGTGGTTTTTTTTTAATCAAGAACTGCATGATACCAGTGAAGAATAAGATTTCCCAAAGATGCATAGTGGCCATGGGAACTTGAGTACTAGGATGAAAATTTTAAGTAAGAATGGTCATTGGTGCTTTCATTTTTACATGTATTCTTTCTTTTCTGCCACACTTGTGAAGGGACATCTGTCTCAGTGGTTCTGTCTGGGTACTAGGTTTATTATTCTAAGTAGTTTTTGTGTTGTATCATCACCTATATAATTAGATGTAGTTCAAGATGATTTTCAGTTTCCTGAGTTTCCTACCTGAGCTTCTTGTTGGTCATCCTCATCTCTCAAATTTGTGGTTTGAAGGTATAGTGGTGCATCAGCAGTATCCTGTAGGTAATCCTGATGAGCTATTGGGGACTTGCTATGTAGGTAAAATGTGTAATTTAAGACACTTGGTTAAATAGTTGGGGTAGAAAATAAGATGTTAATCTCAGATTTCAGTTAAAACTTCTGCATTCTCAGGTTATTGTTTGACAGCATTGTCTTTCTTGCAAGTTAGTTTGTGAACTTTAGACTCTACTGGCATAAATACTCAATAGAGTGTGTTATTCAGATGACAAATTAAAAAAGTAATCAATAGCATTTTTATATTTGTGAATATGTCAGAGTTGGTGCATTTCTTTGGTCAATTAGGTTGCTTGTTCTGAATTTATTTTCCCTGTAAAGACTAGTTTAAATTATTGTATATTAGCAGTGGAACAGTTTTCCTTCACATTATTGAAGTTACAGAATTTACTTAATATAGGAACTAGGGCTTTTTTTTTTCTCTCTCCTTAAAATTGATACTTATGACAACTTAATAGAACCATGTAGCATGAAATAAGTATTCCAAACTGTTTAACCCATCTCTGTGTAACATCAGGTTAATGTATTTCCGTTCAGTAATGTGGAGTCTTGAACAGAATGTTTGTTTTAATGTATTTCATAGCAAATGTTGATAATAAAGAAAAACTGAGGTAGTTAATTTAGACAATTTCTGTGAATTGTTAAAAATCCACTTCCACATCTTCACTAGTTTTCTGTACATTTACTTGAGCACATTAATATTGCTTTCAGGTCACATTAGGCTTTTTATGTATACTAATGAGGAGATTAGTTTGTTTTCAAACAACATCTGCTGTGTTTTAAAACATGTGGGTTTGTTTATTGCCATTGCTAATAGGCTGACAGAAAAAGGGTCTTACTCCTTTAAGTGAGACTTTAATAAAAGCTTCCTGTGACTTGTCATTCGTCTTGTTGTACCTGAGTTCAGTCCTTTTTCACTTCTCTGTGAAGCTAAAAGCCTCCTTGCAATACTAAATTACTTCACCTTGCATTGGGAACAAGGTCTAGGAGTTCAGTACAGTTCTCAAACCAGAGAAACAACAGTTCAATTCCAAAATACTGTATGCAGAACGCCAGAAGCCTGGCTTCATAGTAGTT